TTGTATATAAATATTTGTGCATTTTAAACAAGAATGTAGTTGATTTAAAAAAACAACAACACCTTCATCTACAGCTTAAGTTTTCCACAGCGTGAGGAAAATAGTGACCGCTGTGGTAGAGTGGTTAGGGGAGTCATCCTGTAACTGGTGGGTTTCTGGTTCGATCCCCCCGCTCCAGCCGCCTCAGTTGTTGTGGCAAGGCACTTCACTTGCCTTGCCTGCTGGTGGTGGTCAGAGGGCCCAGGGGTGCCAGTGCATGGCAGGCTCAGTGTGGCCCGTTGTAGCTGTGGCTACAGTGTAGTGTAGCTCAGTGGTTCCCAAACTTTTTGTCTTCTGACCCACAAAATATTCATGGCAAAAACTTGTGACCCCCAAATATTACTGGTCTGAGTACATGAACTTCTTAAATAACCCTAAAAACACAGGATTTTGGACAATCTAAACAGCTTGTACACAATTACAAATACTTATTTTTACTTATTTTGTGTTTTTGTAATAATTATAGAGAAAGGATTACATCAGCAATTTTTTATTATCTTTTAAATTGATTTCTGGAGATTATCCAAGGCGCTTCATGACCCATAATTGGGTCCCAAGCCCAACTTTGGGAACCAAAGTGCAGTGGTTCCCAAACTTTTCAGCTTTTGACCCACAAAATAACAGTAACAGAGACCTGTGCCCCCAAATGTTTTTGGATGATAAACATTTGTAACAGGTCAACTAAACATGGGTATAGTAACAATATTTTTATACTACATTTATCCATTTTAAATACACTAACCTCACTCTTTTGTAACAAATAAGGCAAAAATGTAATTAATTCAGAAAATCTTTTCAGGACCCCACCTTGATGTTTCGGGTCCTGACTCCAACTTTGGGAAACACTGGTGTAGCTTACCACCATCAGTGTATGAATGGGTAAATGACTGTAATGTAAAGAGCTTTGGAGTCTGTAGGAACTTGATGAAGTGCTGTATAAGTTTAGGCTATTTACCATTTTACCATGAAATCTTCTTGGAGCCATCCTTTATCCATAGATTTAAAAAACTACCTCCTTTGTACCAGCAGATGGTAGCACATGGTTTTTTTTTTGTACTCCAGAGTTCTTGTTAACCGTTTGATCAGTAGGCACAGTAAATCTGCAACATACAACAAATTTCCCTAATGTTTTATTTTATTTTTATATGTTACTGTAATAAATTTGAATTCTTCACACTACTGTTGGTTCAAAATCTAGTATTTTCTGTTTACCTCTAATTAAATCCTTATTGTAAGCACTCATTACCTTTTTTAAATGCTCTCCAAATGATCCAGTTTTATGCATCTGTTTCTCTCTGTGTCTGTATTTGTTTTACAATGTAAAATGTTATCTAGTTTAATTTTTTATAAAGAAACAGTTACCCATTTATGTCATCTCTCTGTAGACAGAACCTAACAAAACAGATGATCTACAGTTGAACCCGTAAATGAAGGGATTTGGGTTTCACTTGCTCATCTACAAATACGTTTTTGTTCAGAGTTTAAAATGCCTTCAAGTTTTGTATTTATGGAAGCAGAAAATAATTGTTTAGCTTTTTGTTCTCTGTGAGCAGCATGGTGTTTTCAGGTCTTTTTTTTTTCTAGCTTAGGTTAAACTTGTTCAAGTGTTCAGAGGCTACAGATAGTCTCTCATTCTATTTTCTGTCTCTCTTCTTCTCCCTATCAGGACAGCAGCCATCCAGAGACACTGATCAACCTCATAGTGCTGACGCAGCATTTGGGCAAAGCTCCCGAGGTGAGACTTTGGACCCAGAGCTTTTAGAAGCAGCTTTGACAGCGATCAGTGTAATAGTTTCCTTTAGGCAAACATCTGTAAGACATCAAGCGGTTTTATTCTGTCATCATTGTTGTATTAATTCAGTAAGCACATCTAAGCAGATTTAACTATAACATTTCTTTTTTTTTTCTTTTGCAAATTGCAAACATGAGTCAAAAACAATATTTTTCTACACATCAGCTGATTATTGACATGTGAGTTTTACAACGTGAGACTCAGAGTTCATGAGATAAAGTCTTGGTAATATACTAGCATTGCACGGACTTGATAGCTGTGGACTGGAATGCTATAAACTCACAGTTCAATAAAATGTTTCCAATTGAGATAACCTTGTGTTAGATGTGATAAAGTGGTAGAAATTAGACATCTTTGCAAAATTTATGGTCTTACGTTGAAAGAAAAGAATAACCCTTCAAACGTTTGAGACTTTCTTCGTGAAAACAGAAGTTTCAGTCTTTTTTTTAATCTACTTTTAAGGTATGTTAATTCATGTACAACTCTCAAAGTCTCATGGGAACAAAGCTTTTTAGGCATTTTTCAGACACTTTGGAACAACAACGTTAAATTCTCATCAGCTTTGCTGCCTATAGATCAGGCATTGCAGTGTTTTTTTCTTTTTAAGCATTAAATATTTATATCTCATGGCTAATTTAGCGGCAGCTAAAGTGCTAGAAAAATCTGTCGCATATTATTTACTAATAGTTTTCCTGCACAGTTGAGTTATTATATCTGGAAGAGTCACTCGATTTTGTGTCCAGTTGTGATTTGTGCACAGTTAAAACATTGTCTTCAGCAGAAAAACATGTTTTATTATTGACAATTCTTTGCAAGTTTTCTCTAAAAACCCTGCGTTTCGGAATTTTGTAAGTTTTGCCCAAAGCTTTTTTCTGGTTGTCAGTAAGCAGCATCTGTTTGTGTGCTCTCAGGTCACCAATCGGTACCTCTCCCAGCTGAAAGACGCACACAGAGCTCACCCGTTCCTCAAAGACTACTTCGCCAAGGTAACTTAAATCCCTCACTCAGCGCAGGATGCGTCTGTGTTTTGTGCAGTACGAGTTAACCAAAACAAGCCTCTTTAACTGAACTCATTTGTATGTTAGATAGGTTGACAGCAGTTGTCCTTGGTCTAAGCCAAGGAGAGCATTCAACTCTGACCTTTCAGCCTTTGTTACACATTATGTTGTAATTACACAAGAGTACAGCATAGTAGGTTACCAAACAAACTGAGACATTCACCACAGCTCTAATGGGAAGATGTTTTTTTAATTTTGTGTGGTGTTAACTGTTTCCTCTTCTGTGTCTTCCTGCAGGAGAACGAGTTTGACAGATTAGCAATGCAGTACGCCCCCACCGCCACAGCATAAAGCATCTGCTCTTCTTCAAGAGACCTTCTTAGCTAACTTTTATGGAAATACCATGAAGATGTTTCTCTTCTTGCATATATTTGATTGTGTGGCTGTATTTAAACCCCTTTGCAAGTCAAAACAGAGTCCTTATTTGATTAGTGGGCAGATGCAGAACAAATCTGTCTTGGTATACTTTCTATATAAATTTACATTTATGTAATACAAACATTCCTTTGAAATGTTAATAAATGTGTTAAACCTGTTTTGATGTGTTTATGAGACTCGGCAAAAGCTTCAAGTACTCTAACAAAATTATATATATATTTTTAGTTTTCTTTGAGGGTGTAATGGACCTAATACTTTTATGTTTAAGCAAGTAATTCATGACAACCTTTAATGACCTAGGTTTTCATGACATTCTGTTCATCTGCAGAYAGAATGATTAAAGTCAGAACAAGATTTGCTAACAACAGTCATTCTTAGATATCACTTGTGTTTATCTTTGTGTTTTCCATTGACCTTGTATCAAATCTTGCTAAGATGACATAATGGTGTTTGTTAATATATATATGAGGCCTCTCGAGACACAGTGAGTAGTGTGGAGAGACAGTGACAGAGAGAAGCAGAGGCACAGAGACAGGGCAGGTTGTTCTCTGTGTTTCCTGTTGTTGCAATAAAACTCAGCTGATCATCTCACGAAGTACCTTCATTCTTGGACCACGTATTTCTGTCTTTGTTAAATAAATATTGCCATAACAGAGGGTTTTATTTTTAGGAGATTAAACTACACTGTCTCTTTAAGTAGACCTTTCTAATGCACTGGTTGAAAGCAGAGGGCTCGTAAAGAAGACAGCGGGCCATGAGTTTCGGCCCAACTGTAGGTTGTTTTTTTTTTTTTTTTTTTTTCACGTAAACGCAGCAGCTGAGAGTTAAAAACGGCGTCAGGTTGGTTAGTTTCTGTCTGGCCTATAGAGGTCGCTGTGATATTTTTAAAAGTTGTGTTTAGGCTCAGAAATTGTACTATTTTACATTTTTAAAAGGGAAAATGCGCATAGCTGCAAACAATACTGTAGGTTGTTTTTTTTTTTTTTTTTTTCACGTAAACGCAGCAGCTGAGCGGTGCTCGCCCCCCTCCTTTTCTTTTTTTTAACGCACCAGTTGATCCCAGCGCGCGCGCCTCGTCAGAAACGCATCTCTCGACACGCTCACCGGAGGCTGACAGGAGGAGGAGAAAAAAGAAGACTCTCCGCGGAATATACTCCTCTAATTTATCCCTAGACGAACCTGGAATAACTCGCTCTTGAGTGAGAGACTTGCCGGTTCCGAGTCGTTACGTAAGTCGTCGAATAACGGTCGGAAGATGAGGAGCGCGTGCCTGACTCCGTTCTGGGGGTTAGCAACACAAAACCTCCAGTGATGTTAAAGGCTAATTCATTCATTCATATATAACCTGTTAGCTAGGAGACCACCGCCTCCGGTTCTGGTCCAGTGTCGCCGCTGTGTGATTTTTACTGTAAGCTAGGCGGCTAACCGTGTGCGCAGTGAGAAGATGATGAGCGCGAGCCTTCACCTGACTGCCGCAAATGGATCAGAGTAGCTGTCAAAATCCGCTCGTTCGATAGTTTGCGTGTTTTTTCTATTATTATTCTCATCTGAACAGCGGACATTTGGTGGGCGCTACTTGCATCCTTAAAACTGTCCTAAAAGTGGGCCCATGTCTTAATTAGGAAGACAAAGAATTAGGCTAAGCTGGTTAGATAAGCTGAGCCACCGGTCAGTCATCACATAGACCGAGCTGCTGGAGCCGTTTCTGCCGGCTTCTTTATTTTTCGTCTTTATTATTATTATTATTATTTTTTAAAACAACCTCCCCGTTGTTTCTGCGCCGCACCACGATGGGCAGTGATGGCGGGAGTGCCGTGCCAGTGGGAGTGGAGCCCATGCCCGGGTACTGGGAGCTCCTCAGCCGAGGATCCAGCGTCATGCTGGGCGCATGGAGGGACTGTGGCGGCTGCGGCGTGAAGCTCTCCAAACAGACTCTCCTGGATAACGCCTACATTACCTGGACCGAGGTCGCCCTCTTCTTCTTGTGCGCCTTTTTGTGGACGATGCTCAGGCGGGGATTGACAGAAAGTCTGTTTAAGGTGGGTAACATTTTTTTTAAAACCCAATTAACCGACCCCCACCCACCCCCCATTCCTCCCCAGTTTAACAGGAATCCCAGTACTTCATGCCAGGAATAAACAGGGTGAATGCTTGTTAGTCACTGTTTTTTTTCCCTCAGATAACCCAACCACACTGACAGGAAATTTTAATTTGACTCACAAAGGCTTAAAAAACCCACATCTGCTGCATTAGTCATTCAAGATGGTAGCATTAAATTCAAATGAGGTGAGGAAGTGTGCACGTTTCTCAGAAACCACGTGCACCTGCTTTGCACATGCACTAAACCTACACTATCTGTGTGACTCTGATTTTATTAAAACTTTATTTAACTAGATTTAAAAAAAAACACTGAGGTCAAGACCTCTTTCACAAGGGTGACCTGGTCTGGACAGGCAGCAGCACACGTCACAATAGAAAATATAAGACAAAAAATGAGAAAATATACATTAAAACAGCCACAATTTGATAATGAAAGACAGTGTTGTGACAGTGACAATCAAACACCGTGAACAATTTAGGATTTAAAACACAGGCATTGTTGCTATGATAATTGTTGTCTTTCTTTTAAAATCTTTTTAAAAGCACTCAGTGGAACAAACTCTGACCATTTTAGTTCAGCCTGCAAGGCATTCAACTTTCTTTCTCTGATCAGTTCGCACACGATGAACATAGAGGTGGAAACGGGTGTGGTTAGACATGTTGGACAAATAACACCTTTATAAAGCTATTTTATGTATTTACACATTTTAGCTTCAAAGAGTAACTGAATTGCTGCTCCGTTCTCATGCAAGCAGTGGTAGTTGTTTTGCTTCTATTTTTTTTTTTTTTTTTAGGAAATGTGTTAATTTTAAGGTTCAAACTGGCTGTAATATATTGTCAACCTTTTAAAGCAGTGGATCCCAAACTTTTTATCTTCTGACCCACAAAATATCCATGGCAAAATCTTGTGACCCCAAATATTACTGGTCTGAGTACATGAACTTCATTAATAACCCTAAAAACACAGGCTTTTTGACAACCTAAACAGCTTGTACACAAATATAAATACTTATTTATACTTATTTTGTGTTTTTGTAATAATTACAGGGAAAATATTACATCAGTAATTATTTTATTACCCTTTAAATTGATTTCTGGAGATTATCCAAGGTGCTTCATGACCCAAAATTGGGTCCCAAGCCCAACTTTGGGAACCAAAGTGCAGTGGTTCCCAAACTTTTCAGCTTTTGACCCACAAAATAACAGTAGCAGAGACCTGTGCCCCCAACTGTTTCTGGATGATAAACATTTGTATCAGGTCAACTAAACATGGGCACAGTAACAATATTTTTATACTACATTTATCCATTTTAAATACACTAACATCACTCCCTTGTAACAACTAAGGCAAAAATGTAATTAATTCAGAAAATATTCTCAGGACCCCACCTTGATGTTTCAGGACCCCACTTTGGGTCCCGACCCCAACTTTGGGAAACACTGTTTTAAAGTACAGGTCATCTGAATAGTTATTTTGTAAAAGGAATGCAAATACCTCAGTTTTGAATAAGCCCCACACAGGCTAAACATCAACAAAAACATCTCATGGAAATGAGATTTAATCAAATATATAGCACAATGTACTCTAGAAAAAACTTCTGGTACCTTTTTTCTAATTTTAAATAATATGATGAATTCACAAGTAATCAATGAGCAATGTGCTCACTGAGTGAGAAGATACTCTTTTATTTGTTTTTAAAGCTGATACTTTTCTACGTTTAATTTCTTTGTTGCCTCCGCGAACCAACTAAGATGGAGGTAAATGAAAACTGTCTGTTTAAACTTTATCCCCTTTGCTTTGTTTTTCACATAAAAGCGTGCTGAAAACATCTGGTGGGCAATCAGGTTGTTTATATGATTTTTTTCTGATCAAACCTCTTAAGAAACAGTCTGTTTGACTGGATCAGCTGGGACCTCTAAATGCGATTCCTCAGATCTTCACACCATAAAAAGATCAAGTCGTCACCAGTTGCTTTTACTTGTTGGTTTGCTTCTCACTTTAGCGTCACGATGCTGCTAAGAAATTAGGGCATCTTTTATAAGGTACCTGATGATGTGCGTTCACAGAACTGCATTGTCTCTTAAGCAGCCTTACAGCATCTCACACCAGTGGTGGAGAGACACAGATTGCTTATATTCTCCTCCACCGTCAAAGGTTTCAGTGCCTCCCTCTGTTAGCATTCAGCCAAGCAGGGTCCCTCTCTTCACAGAAAGCTCGTGTGGCTTTTTTTACTCTACCATCGTGATGGAGGTGGAGTTTGTTTGATGACGGTGGGTCCCGTGTGTGCAGCCAGACATGGTCAGAGAATGCAGAGGATGAGACCTACTTTCCTTTTTTTCCCCTCTTTGAAGACGGGCACGTTTTGACATCTGCAGGCTGTAAAGGATGAGGTGAAACTCTGAATTAAAACTCAAAGTGCCATTGATTATTCACCACCTACAGAGAGTGTGCTTATATTGGGGATGAAGAGGATGGGTTCAGCGTAGGGCAGCCAGGTGGAGCTAATTCAATACGAGTATTGCTTTTCCACATCACAACGCTGAAGTGGGCTGCAAGAGGGGCACGCTGTTTGAGCTCTTATCTGACCAGATGGTATTTGCTTTAACAAACCAGCGGTCCTTTATGTAATAAAATGTAAACCGCAGTGTAATAGCTTCTCAGTTAAAATGGATTTTTAGTGTTAATAACACACAGTTGTACAGTTTAAGTTGTCGATGAAGGCTTCATGTGCACAGAACTCGTCCGCCGCAGGCCCGTGGATTAAAATAATTAGTTTCCTGTTTAGTTACTTACATCTGAGAGTTATGTTAGAAGAGCGAAAGCTGACCCAGTTCAGAGTCAGACACACATTTCTTTCTGCGATCTTTGCTCTCCGCCGTACAACTCACTGTTCCAACAAGATAAGACAATATTTGATTGATCTTTTTTGTCTGCTCTGGTTGAACGTTTTAAAGAAGCACATTTTTTTTCTTACTCTGGCAAGACTTATACCTGCAGCACAAAAGTTATGAAGTTGGCAGTCAATTAAAAAATACTGGCAGACCTTTTATGACTTTGGGTGAACTTTGCACAAGGCTGCACAAATGTTTTGAAGGAAAGACATGAAGGGGCAAATTGTTGTTCCAAACTGGGTTGCTCAGATTCTGTATTCAAGTCAAACTAAAACAGGAGCGTAACTTGTTGCCATTCGAATTTGGCTTGGAGTTATGTTGGTTATCACTGTGCCATAACCAGGCTTTTTCATGGTTTACATTTGATTCATAGCTGCACATATCCAGGTTAAATACCCTTCTTTTCTAAGCCACTTGACGTTTTTCTGTTACACAAAATGATGTTGCATCCTCCTCGCTCTGTCCTGCCTTGCCTGTTGACACCCCAGACACTGACAGTTTAAAGAAAAGTAAATGTGGCGTTTAAGATAAGCACTGAAAAGCTCTTCTGAGAATCACGTACCTAATCAGCCATCTAAATGTCACACTTGAACTTCCCGAGCGTGAACGTGTCTTTTACTTCTTCCTCATTTTCTTTTCAAACATGCTCTGTTGTTTGACAAAGCGGGGGCGGCTTCTTTGCTTGGACAATCTTTCTTACTGTTTAAAAGTTGCATTTAAGCATGTGCCGGTATTAGCGCTATTTCACGTATCGTTAGCCTCATAGCATATATGTCTAAGTCATTTGTGACCAAATATTAGTGTTGTAGTACTTGAAACCGGTCTTGGTCTTAAGACCGGTCTCAAGACCACTTTTTGATGGTCTTGTTCTTGTCTCGGACTCAACAGCATTTGTACTTGGTCTCGTCTCGGTCTCGGACATTGAGGACTCGGAATTTTGTTTCAAGACCAGTCAAGACCACAGCTGTGGAAATATAACTAAACAGTAGGGGTGCAACGATAGAGAAAATTCACGGTTCGGTTCGGTTCGATACTTTAGTCTCACGGTTTGATATTTTTTCGATACAAAAAAGAGAAATTTCCATGCCCCATTTAACTTGTAATTTGCTGAAATTAATTATGAACATTTGTTTAACCTCAAAAGTAGTTTTTAAATTAAATGTTGCTGAAACAGCAAGTTTCTCAGTGGATCTGCGCTCAAAAATGCAGCCTAGGTGGAGTAGTCGAACACAGATCCACTGATCCTTTAACACAGAGCATCTTCAGAAGACAAGTTCATAAAGTAAATTTTGAAAATCTGTATTGTTCGATACAAGTGTTTATTGAACCTAAAGCACTGTTCGATACGGTTCGATACGGGTACATACGTATATTGTTGCACCCCTACTAAATAGCCATATTATTGTCCAATTTATTTGTTAACAATCTTACTTTCATTGGATTTAAAATGTAGCTACTGATTCAAATCCAAACCTGACTTATTGCTATCTACGTGTTTTTTGTTAGCGGCTGTCACCCATCTGCACCCGCCATCACGCACACGCAGCACTCCCGGAAAGTGAACTGTGGTTCTCTGAGAGCTGTAAAGGATGTCTTAAATTTTAAATAAAAAAGTTTGGCTACATTATTCATAAATAATATCATTGTAAAACAACAACAACCAGGAGAAATTGTACAGCAACTTGTACATTCAACAGTGCTTCACTTTCAGAGACAGTGGGGAAAATAAACTTTTATCATCTCTAACGTTAACAATCTGCCTCTGTAGCAAAATTCTTTTCTCTGCCCTCACACAAACATTTTGTCAATATTAGCTCTACATATTAAGTTAGCTAAAGTGGGGGAAAAGTATTTAGTCAACACCAATAGCTTAAGTTCTCCCACTTAAAAAGATGAGAGAGGCCTGTGATTGACATCATAGTTAGACCTCAACTATGAGATCTAAATACTTTTTTCCCCACTGTACATGTGTACACAATACTCCATCACTTAGGGCACTTTTTTTATCTGGTCTTGGTCTTGTCTCGGTCTCGCCCTCCCTTGGTCT